AACAACAGCAGCAGCAACAACAACAGCAACAACAACAACAACAACAACAACAACAACAACAACAACAACAACAACAACAACAACAACAACAACAACAACAACAACAACAACAACAACAACAAAAAACAACAACAACAACAAAAAACAACAACAAAAAACAACAACAAAAAACAACAACAGCAACAGCAACAGCAACAATTACGCTTACGTACCTATTTTTAAAATTATTAAGGTTTGTCATTGCTGTGGTATACTTTGGTGCATCTTACGGTGCTAGTGATTTTGGTGGTAACATGTATTTCAATTTTGCTCTCACAAGTTTGATTGAAATTCCTGCACATTTTCTCGCTATCGACAACTGTGAAAGGTACGCTTATGTATTTTCTAATTTCTAATTTCTAATGCATTTTCTTTATTACTAAAAGATATTGAGGATCAACAATGGGATTTTTAACTCTTAGGTCTAGAATGAGTAGTACATGCACTAATTTTCTTTGACAATTAATAGGGGGGGGTAGAACCGAAGGGAAAATGTTTTTCTTTGTAAAAAGTTTGCTGATCCAACCATTAAAAAGTCGAATTATTTTTACCCAACCTGAAATATCTATCAAAAAATAAAAATATCCACCCCTGGTCAAAAACTTACAAAAGGATACCATTCAGTTGTCACACATGTCCTTTACTACTTCTGTGACATGAGTTTGATAACTGCTTGTGCAATTTTCTGCAGTGTAATGTGAGACAGCATTTGCCTCTTGACAAGTCGGAAAATGATCAAGATAGTGACTTTGATTGATTTACATATTGTATTGACATATGACTGTTGAGATTGCTTTTTAGTCTAGTTGAGTGAGTCATGCTTTGGAAATGACAATAAATGTTTATTACCCAACCCTTTTTCATTTACCCAACCTTTTACTCACTCAAAACTTTGTTTACCCAATCCTTTTCTCTTCGGTGCCACCCGCCCTAAATAATAGAGAGTTTAAGCTTCGCGTTATACGTCAAACGGCAAACGCCAGGCAAAGAAAAATTTACGGTATCAAGTAATAAAGAGTAAATGAACTTGCTGTTTTAAAACTGAAATACATAATTATTCTTTCGACGCCGGCAAGAAAATATGAAACGAACCTGCCGTTTGCCGTTCCCGAAAACGTGAAGCTTAATCTCCCTAATGACCGCCGTCATGTTACGTGGGTTGAACGTATGTAACTGCACACGCCTCAGTAAGAGCTGTTGTTCCCCTAAGTGGCTTGCTCTCTCGCATAGTACAGCCATTTTTGTGAATGGATTTTCTCCCTTGTTGATAATTATTCCGTGTTGCAACGCTCTCTTTATACTTGGCATTTCTCATGATTCTTGTGTAAGAACACTAATACTTATCTTTGGTTCATTTTAGGATTGGTCGTAAGAAGACTGTGATTATATACATGATCCTTGGTGGAATTGCGTGCGTTGTTGTTTCGCTCATTCCTGCTGGTACTGAAAGAACAGGTATGCATATCTCCGCCAGCGGATAAAACTATACAATGGGCTAAGGGAGCGGTCATTATTTGTGGTGGTGGGGGGGGGGGTGGCACCGAAGAGAAAATGGTTGGGTAAACAAAATTTTGAGTAAGTAAAAGGTTGGGTAAATGAAAAACAAAAAAACTCAAGGGTTGGGTAAGAAAAAAATGTTCCACGCCAAGCATGTCTTACTAAAATATTGAAGACTAAAAAGCAATGTCAACAGTCATGTGTCAATACAATATGTGAATCTACCAGAATCACTATCTTGATATTTTCCGATTTGTCGGGAGACAAATGATGTCTCCAAAGAAACTACATGTGCAGACAATATGAAACTTTAGACTGCAGAAAATTTCACAAACTGTTATAAAACTCATGTCACAGAAGTGGTAAAGGACATGTGTGACAATTGAATGGTATCCTTTTGTAAAGTTTTGGCCAGGGGCGGGTATTTATTTTTTAATTGATTTTCAAGGTTGGGCAATCAAATTTTTGACTTTTTAATGGTTGGGTCAGCAAAAGTTTTGCCACGAAAAACGTTTCTCTTCGGTGCCACCCCCCACCATAAATAATGACCCGTCCCTAATGGACAACTTGCATGTTAGACTAAATTTTATTCTAAGTAAAGAGGAGGGAATCAAACACCACAGCTAAAAAGAACATAATGAAATTAGTAAAATTGCAAAATGTAGTTGCGAAATGTTGTAAAGCTCGGAAAATATAGTCTAGCAAAGTTTGCAATTTTGTATATGTTTGTATTACGTGCGGAAATTGTTACCATTTTCGGCTCAAAAATGCATGGTAACAATTTCCGCACGTAATATACAAGCATCAATAGAAAATATGTAAACTTCGCAAGGCTATATTTAAGCTTTACAATATTTCGTAACCAAATTTTGGACGCGGGGAATTTACTTTTTTTGCCTAGATCAAAAATTAGTCTAACATGCGAGTTGTCTATTATGCATGAAGTTACTTGTTTGCCATTTGATAACGTATTGTTCTTGGGTTCGCAGTAATTGGCTAATCGCTGTTGCGAATACCCTGCCATGCATAGATTGCTGAGAACAGCGCAATTTAATCGAAATACATTTCTTCTCCAGATTTTATTGTTGGACGTGTTATCGGTGGTATGCTAGGAAAAGGTTTCATTACAGTCTCCTACGGCGCCATAGTCGTTTGGTCAACAGAGCTTTTCCCAACCATTGTCAGGTAATCCTATACCAGAGTGTACATGGGCTTAATTCCTGATTGAGACATTCAAAAGTAATTTTCAGACTTAGACCCCTGGGATAATTTTAAAGAAATTTTATCACTGCACAAAACCCCCCATAAAATAGCTGCATGTCACATAGCGAAGCAGCGCTGAGTACAGCTCTCTAGATTGTACGTTATTCAGTGCTGTAGCCTACTGAGAAATCTCAAATCATTAATCAGAATTCCTGAGTAAATTAGCCAACCATATTACTTTTCACATGATAATACTGGATACTTGGTGAAGTATATTGATTGAAATCTCACACAAATAAATCACTACTTAAATTTTAAGTGAGGTGAATTCAGTTTGATCCTAGGACTGAATTAATTTTGATCCAGTCCTAGTTTTGAAATCTAGTCCAGGCCTCATAAAATATCACATCCAAAACAGGAAAATTTACGAAATGTAAATGGGAACCTAAGAACCCAACTAGGTGATGGGGAATTGCAAAACACAGAACGTTTCGGGGAACTGGGGCAGTGGGGGGCCTTGTGCTTTAGCCTCCAGAGGTTGATTTCTTGTATTTCCACTTTCACCAGACACAATTTTCGATACATTCCATCTTGAGAGGTTGAATATTAGGGCATATAAAATTCATATATTAAAAGGGGACAACGTTAATAAGTGAAAACCGACATAACTTATTGTCTTCTTGTGCTTATCGTGCTTTGGAACAATTTAAACATAATATATTTGTGATAAATTATACACTCCTTTCGCGAATTAATATCACCTATATATATATAGTTAAACATTAAAGAAAATCAGCACTGCACAAAATCGCCTGATTTATCACTGCGCAACTCCTATTTATCATTGGACAAATTGGAAAATATATAGGCGAAGCTTAAGTCCTGCTGCATGCTTGTGTTTCTATAGTTGTAACGGGTATACTCACGCACAGCTCTGATCAGCCGTGTTCTATACCATTACTTTGCATGTTAAGCTGAGAGCCTTGAGTTTCACAAATACTATTTATTTTACATTTTCCAGGAACAGTGGCATGGCAATAACGTATGTCTCGACCTGCCTTGGATCTGCGGCTGCACCCTTTGTTTTGGAGCTGGACAGAATTCATCCAATATTACCATTTGGTCTTATGGGAGGTTTGGCTGTCGTCGCTGCCTTGTTGGGTTTGCTTTTGCCCGAGACCAGAGGAAGGCCGACTGCTGAAGTTTTCGAAAGCAAAAACAGCGGTATACAACCTCATATTAGGGACCGGTCATAAAGTAACTGCTAGGGTGGGCTGGAGTGATTTGGGATGGGTCATGGAAAATCTTTGGGCAGTTGCGATGGGCCGCCAATTTTTTTGTATGTCCACGGTTGGGCCACCAAACAAAAACCCATGCATGTCTACTTCAAAAGATATTAATAATGAAAGTAAACTGACAAAACTATCCAAATTATCAAATGCAAATGATGCTATTGAAGCCAGTACTTTAATTGTTTATACAACAACAAGAAGTGGTCAAATCACAGCAAATACAACCAACTGGAGAACAGCTCAGTATCAACGTGTTGGTCAAGCTTGGTGGAATTATGTATGTCAATACAGAGCCGTGTATATTATTTACAATGTTCATGCCTGCAAGTTTTTTTTTTTATTATAAAAGTGTATTTTCCCAATTTAGATTGGGTGGGTCATGAAAAATTTTTGTAATATTAGATGGGCTTTGAAATTTTTATCTACATCCTAAGATGGGTCACCGAACTTATTGGCAAAATTTGTGATTTACCTCTAGCCCACCCTAGCAGTTACTTTATGACCAGTCCCTTATATAACTTCAAATTATATATGTATCATCAATCCTTATACCTTGGGTTTTACGATTTCCACCCAATTTATTGCCTCTGATCTTTTGTTATGAAGCAAAAACAAAATAAACTGTTTGGCTGCTCGTCCAATTTAACGATTTTATTCGTCATAAAATTCGCCGCGACAATTTAGAAAGAGCTTAAGGTCCAGACACACCGGACGCGATTCGACAACGCGACGCGATTTTTTAGTTTTTGAAAGTTAATCTTGAAAACAGCCAATGAGAGCGAATTTTGAAAGATATGTAGACCAAATAACTCAAAATGTTACAGCGCTTCTAAATATTTGGAAAATTTAAACTAGAATCAAAGTTATCGATCAGTCAGAAAATCGAAAAATCGCGTCGCGTTGTCGAATCGCGTCCGGACCATTATATGAGTGCTACATAGCAGCAAGAAAAAAGTGCGGAATCTTATTGGTTAAAAATTTGGTGATCGTCTGGCGCTCAACGAAAAGTAGAACGTCAATTCAACTTTTCGTCGAGCGCTAGACGATCGCTCTTCGGACATATATTTTCAATTGCGCATTTGTCGTCGCGAACTGTTTTGACGATCGTCCCAAAAATCGTCTATAGTGTCTATTGAAGATCCGCCTTATGCCTGGAATGGCGCTTCGTGCCATTGGCTCGGGGATTGGCAATGGGCTAAATAGACACTCAGTCTATTCTGCCCGGCAAAGCAAGACATTAATAAATTAAAACTAAATTGGACCGATAAATATGCAGCATTGCACATATATACAGATAATTATTAGGCAGTATTGCATATATGAATATATTGAGAAAGTTAATTTGCCAAATTTTTTTGCTTTTAATTTCAGAAAAAGCTACAGAAACGATTATTTTGAATCGAAACATTGAAGATCAGAACGAAAAAATCTCCTGATGATTTAAAGTGACATGTATAACAAGCAGAACCTTACTGCGTATAACAATAAAGGAATAAGAAATCGCAGATAATTTTCTTAATTAACCAAATATATAGCCTCATAGCAAGCAACTTTTAAAATTAGAAATTTGGATCATAAAGTCGTTATATTTGTAAAATCAAAGCTAAAATAAAAAAAAATCAGTTAAATTACTTAAAAGAACAAGAAAGTCTATATAATTGCAGTTATTACACTTCAAGCGAATTTGTAATTATTGAGCTTAAATTTCCGTGGTAAAATTATCTGGCAACCGCCTCCCCAATTCCAGGTATTTCCACGTTCCTGCAGTCACCCAAAAAAGGGGCTAAAGTAGTACGTGCGCATATACATTCAACATGGGGGCCCCCCATACATGTACAATTAGAAATACCGACTTTTCAACATATATTAATGTTAACACCACTACCTCGAATAGCTTTCCAAATGTAGGTATAGGAGTTTTTTGAAGACGAAGTATGTGTAACTTCTTCATATTTGCAAGTATGTGTAAATTTAACCTTTGTATATAATCCTGAAAGTTTGTATATATAGGTAATAGTATGGTTTCGAGTATTCATTTTGAAAACAACAAACATGCACGAGTGAGTTTTTCGTGAAAACAAACATAGGCGTACCGGGCGGGGGAGGGGGGGAGGCGGTAGCCCCCCCCCCCAGTTTTTTGGACAGTCGGGCAATATTCGATCAACAGTTGGGCAATTTTGGTGTATAATGAAAATAAAAGGGACAAATTCTGTCAATTTAGTCGAAATTTCAGTCAATTTTGTGGTGAATTATGTCTTATTTCGAAAATTTGCGTGATGTTCCGAAAAATTTTGGTATGTCCGGAAAATTTTTTTGACCCCTAAAATGGTACACTGACCGAAATTTTTTTGGCGACGGGGGGGAGGTCGCCGAAATAATTTTTCCGGAAAAATTTTTTTAGGTACTAGTCGGGCACAATCCCGAAAAGTCGGGCAAATTTCTTTCCGCCCCCCTAATTTTTTCCTTCCGGTACGCCCATGAAAACAAATGCATGCAGGAATTTTGAAGGACTAGTGGAATTTGAAGTCACTGAAAAACACAGCAGTGTTCGCTTTTTGTTTAAAAGAAGTAGAATCTTTATACCAACAAGACGCTCTGTATTGGGGCGTCTTGTTGGGGTTTTCAAAAATGGAACAGGCGGGCTTCCCTTTTATATATCGCTCCTTTGGGCGGATGTAAGATTCCGCATATTGATAAGCTTCAGTCGTCTATCCAGTGAAACCATGAGATATGTTAGATTTCTATTTTGTATCTAGAAATTCACTGCAAATCTAAGGCGAACCTATACTTGCTGGCAACGCCCCAGCAACTAATAACAATAAAAATGTCTTTTTCGAGTGACTTTTTCGAACAAAATTTTGTCGCTATCCGACTAAACCTTAATTTTTATTGTTTCATATTTTTATATTACAATACATAAACTATATCATTACATTATACTGTATGGGTTGCCACCGACTTATACGAACAGATTCTGTAATTGGTTGATTACAACAATGGAATACAATAAAACAGAGGAATACAATTTCTAAAGAACAAATCAGAAACACTGACACTTTTGGTTGTTAATTAAACAAATGCAAAACATTGATGACTTTTGTTAATTAAGCAAGCTAATCAAAAACATGTTCATGTTCGGTTGGTATATATTCACCTTACCCTTCTATATGTGATAGAATACTTAAGGTAGAGGTTACAGCGGACCTACTCTGCATGGGACCTTAACTCGCCTTAAATCGCTGCTTAAAGGTTTATGGCAATACAAATTATAAAGTTTGTCTTATTTGAAAGACATTAACATTTAAAATGATATATAAACTTCATTTACAATTATTCCGTATCTTGCTTGGTTTTCTAAATAGATCGACTTATTTTGATCAAAAGCAGCGTGCATTCCGCCATCTTGGATATGCATTCGATATGCATACGTCACAAGTAGGGTAAAAAGCGAAAGTTTTATCTTGCAAACCACATCTCATTATCAATATGAACCTCGATTTTCCGTACTCAATTTTAAGAAGTTTAGTCCCACATAAAGAAGTTTTAACAAGTTTATCCTGCTTGTGACGTCATCAAAAACTCAGTTAATTAGGTCAATTATAATACCAAGATGGTGAACTGCACACTGTTTTTGGTCAAAATATTTCGAAAACCAAACAAGGTACGAAAAAGTTGTAAAGGGTCTTCATATATAACATTAAAATTTCTTTCAAATAAGACAAAGTTAATATTTATTGCCGCATATCCTAAAGGGATAATGAAATTGACCAAAGCCAAAGTTCTCTTAAATCGCCTAAACTCGCATCATCTCGCGGTGAGTTTAGGCGAGTTACCGTCCCAGAATAGCCTACAGTTGTAAACGATGTGTAAATGATGACCCTTTTGAAAGCCATATGAAACTCCTTTTTAAAACATAAATATATGGATGGAATTTTGTTCGATATATTTTATTACTAGTATGTTAGTGTATTGTCATTTCTTTGTAACAGAGCAACCAAACTCTTTCTGGAGGTGGTGGGATCAGCTGTGAATTATTATATTTAACACCTTGCAAATGGTGTTATATCCAAAGACGTTTATTAAAATTCTCTTGGACGCTTTGCGAGACTCAGTTTACTAGTGTAAAACACAAATATATATAATTCTATATGTTCTATGTACTAGGTCTAAAACATTCAAATTCTTTCAGAAAGATGAAGTGTTCAGCCGTATATGAAGTTTGCTTCCTGTTCAAAACCTTCGCCAAATTCTCTTGAAAACCTTGCGAAACACAGGCCATTCTATTGATTCTATGCACTAGAGCATTCAAACTCTTTCTGAAAGGTGGTGGGTACAGCTGTAAACGACGTATTCATGTTATCGAAAGATTGCTCTCTTTTCAAAACCTTTGCCAAAATTCTCTTGAATGCTTTGCGAAACTCCGAATTAAAACAAGAATATATTATCGGGTTTGCAGCGCTGTTCACGACGGGTAGTATATTCACAAAAATAGTTATAACTACATTTCTGGCACTTTTACTCATTCGTGGAGGAACGAAGCAGGCGTCACCACAATATTGGAAAGTTAGAAAAATGACAAAGAACGGGAACCAACATATACAAAAGACACCAATAACTACGACTAAAGTTTTGGTGGCTTTTAGTTGTTTTACCAGAGAGAATGTCGCCGAACGCTGGACTGATTTGCGAGGGTCTTTTCTAAAGGAAAATATAGGTCGCTTCAGGAAGCTTTTGCGGCTTTCATCTGTTCGAGTGTCGGGGTTGGGATTGGTGTCGGTCGTTGTTGATACATCGGCGCAATAATTCGTTGCGAGAGAACGGGTTTCTTTCTGAAGTCGGTATGCATGTCGCATGGCAATTCGGAAAATGATGCCGTAATTGACGAACACAATTGCGAGTGGAACAAAAAATGCAGCAATCGATACAAAGGTTATATACTCTTTAGAGATTAAAGCGCATTGAGGCTCGAAACGGATCACAGAGCTTTCTGTCCAATTTGCCATACTCAGGCCTGCGCAAATTATTGCAAAGGACCAGGTGATGCCGATCATCAAATACACGTGACGCGGACGCATGTGCTCTTCGTACTTCAAGGGATCCACCACGGCTATGAGTCGATCAAATGAAATTCCCATGAGACTCAAAATAGATGCAGCGGAGCATAGCATGTCTACCGAAATCCAAAATTGGCATCCATAGTGATCAAAGGGCCATTCGTCATGGTTGACGGTTTGCGCAAGGCGGAGCGGAAGCGAAAGCGTTCCAACCAGCCAATCAGCGACGGCTAGGAAACGATGAGATAATTGGTCCGACCACGTAAACGAGGGTAATAGCAAACACAAAATATGACCAGGGAGTTTCCGATAATCGCCGCCAACATTACAATGCAGATGAATATTGAGGTTAAAATATCTTTAATTGGGTCGGGGTTTAGTGCGGACTGGGTAGTGGTGTTATTCGACATCTTAATTTCGGATTTATAGGTTTTTCAGTTGGGATTTCAAGTTCGGCTCTGCAAATGAAAAATACATATACAGTCAATACAACAGGTATAGATATGAGCGGTATGACTCTAAAAAACAGCAATGTGATTTTACATCGATGCGACAATAATGATAATAATGCATATCAGTATCATGTTTGGTCAGTAACCAAAATCCAAATTATTTTAATAAATTTAAAATGTATCTTGCTGCAGAATTGCAGATCGATGTAAAACAGTCAGAGTTAATCGGAAAACCAGGTTTGAGTCCTAAACGTATATAGAAGTCTTCTCCGACTTCTCGCGAAAAAGTGTTTTTTTTTGCTCAGTTTTGCTCAAAAACAACAAACTGTTTGAAAGTTGATTTCCCGCTCGTCGGCCTCAACCTGGCCTCAAATCATATAGGCCTTGATCATGTGAGTTAGCGTTCCAGTTTACTTCTAGTTCAGGGCTGAAACACGCGAAACACTAACACAAACTCCCATAGTGTAAACGTAGTCATTGAAAGAGTTTTACTATAGTCTGTATGTTACGCACTTTGTAAGCGTATAGTGTGTAAACTGTCATAATTGTGATGAACCGTACGTAGCTACGTTGTCTAAAACAGCTGAACTTCTATTCGCTGTCAGTCTATCAAGTCTTAATTCGAAACAGGTTTATATATAGACTATTAAAATAACTGAAATTACAATATTCAAAATACAATTACAATATTTAAAATACAATATACAAGACATTTCAAAAGGATAAAAACAGACTTTGGACAGTCGTAAATATTAGAAGTCACAGAAACAGGTGCACTGTCACAAATTTTGATTAGTTATGGAATGAGACAACAATTAATAGTCTAATAGTCTTATATATATATATATATATATATATATATATATACACACGTATAGTATTTGATAAATAATTCCATGCATGTCCCAACTCTCTCTCTCTTCAAATGGACAAAAATAATATCCCGATTATATACAGGGTGTATCAAAATAAACGCAATTCATCTTTTGTGCTTAATAACTTTCGAAATACTATTTCTAGTTAAACGCTTTAGGCTTACTTCAAAGCCTGTTCTTTTCTCTTTCAAACAAACTATTATCCTTGTCTCCAATGCTAGTAATAATTGCACAGGAAAAGATTTAGTAAAACCTATCATTTTTAGTTGCTGTTGAATTATGCAAGTTTACTATGTTATTGTTTAGTCGGTTTAAATGTTAGAATTTTCTTCTTTAAACTTTAATGTTGTCGTCACTACATCTGGAAAACCACGTAAGAACAAATTTAAAGTATTTTAAAAGAGACCAGGTTGTTTAAAAATCCTAAACGAATGCTAAAAATCGTCAAAACGTTCTGGTGTCTGAGCCAGAGTGTCATCGAATTGCGATGTAATGTAAACAGAAATTATAGCAAGTTGATGTCAGTCAGCTTAGATGGTCCAAGCCAAAATTATATCGCATTTGAAGTTTCAAACTGAGTTAAAAAATAGTGGAAGAAAAGCCGTAATTATACTTATTGTTACAATCCATTTAATAAAATGCAACATTTTTTTGTTTTAATGAAAAAATCAGTTATTTTCATGAGAACGATTTGTTATACCATCTCAATTTTT